CCTTATAATACCATCAGAATTGAGAGCCCAACTTTCTATGTCATTTCCGCCAAGTGTAACATTGAGATCTGTAGACCTCGTGGCCAATCCAATAGCCCATATCCCACCTTGTTGTATTTTAACTTCAAAATAACTTTTACTTTGGGCAAGAGGAGCGTTTGTTAAGGCACCACCACGACCACACACTCTTAGACCATTTTTTACTATCACAACTTCATGTCCTGTGCCAATTCGACAATATTTTCCTTAAACACTCATAAGTTTCGAAAAATTTCATAATTCTTACCGTTAACATAGAACGTGCGTAACAGAATTTTTATCATGAGATAATAAATCATTAATGACACTAAACGCACATCTTTATCTCCGAGACGCGCAAGAATGTAAATTTTATGCAAATACGGCGATACAGATATCGTTAATGTTTTCGAACAGCATTATTAACTTTACTTTAATGCTAAAAATGAAAATTACCCATGTAAGATGTGTCTAAAGCTATAGGATTTGGTTCTCTCTTCGGTATTTGAGTTGCGGCAAAGCCAAAGCCGTCAAAACAGTTTCTCAAACAGCAAAACATCATCCTCGTTCCGCTTTCTTTACGATCTGTTTAGATGAACGAACGGAGCATTGTGACACTGTTAGGAGAAAAATTTCTTTTCCTCCCTTAAACTAAACCGAACGTCTCGCAATATTTACTTCTGTCGCACCAAAAACCTTAGACACCATGCAACACCTAACTACTACAGTAAGTTAGTCTGTGCATATTTCAATGTAAGGACTGAACTTTCAATGTGTAGGTTGACTATGCGTAGTGTCGTCAGAAAATGGCTTCCATTCGAATTTATGCAATCAATATTAAATTCTTATTTACTTTACATATGTACGTTCTATTCTTCCTTAAATCTAATATTAATGCTTTTTCCTTATTTTTTAACCTGTTACGTAAAATAATTTGCGAGGTATAATATATTATTTCTATAAAATTTGAGGTTATATTTTCCCGTTGTGTAACTATGAATTGATGTATGTTAAAAATTTCTACAAGAATTGAACGCAAAAAAAAAGAATAAATTCAATACTAATGTCCAATAATTACAATATTTATTAAATATTTTAAATATAATAAATCTGGTATTTATTTGCTTATTTTACACAAGAAAAAAGTTTTTATATCCGACTGGGATACAACATCTGTAATAAAACAACGCACGATCAAATTTAAGTTTATATATTATACAATTAGAAAAATGAACAAAGAACTTACAATCCTGATTCGGTGACCCATAGCTTTAGCTGGCAGATTCCTCTTAAATTTAGCTCGTACTGAACCTCTGGTTCCATGTGGCCGGGTTACCTTACCCCAAATGGCCCTAACTTTTGTTTTCTTGCCTTTGATACCAGGAACAGGTGTCCTATTTTTTGCCTGCAAAACATTAACATGTGAGGATCATAATTTTATTCAACTCCTTGACAGCTACTTAGTGCCATATGTTACAAGATGATCACAAATGAAAGAATCGATTAAAGAGAAGCAATAACAATTACCTTATATACAAAAACACATCGTTTTCCTACATAGAAATCTGAATCACGTTTAGTACCAGCTCCTTCAACTTTGAGGAGTGCTGTGTGTTCATGTTGATTACGTAGTCCACGTTTGTAACCAGTAAAAATAGCCTTGGCATAAAGTCGTCCGTGCCTTTTGAAGGGTCTCCTTTTCAAAGGAGGAAGCTCTACTGGTTTTTCCTTTGGTTTCTTGGTTACTTTCCTTTTGGCCTTTGGGTCAGCAGGTGCGTCTGCCATTTCTAACAGCACATATTACACTTATAAAAATATCTTTCTACAAAACTGGTATTAGAAAAGATCTTAGTATTTAGGAGATACAGAACTAATTACGATAAAATCATCGTACAAATGTATAGATAATGTAGTGTTTTAGGTTATACTAAAGTAATGTTCGAATTGTAGAGAAAAACAAAACAAAATTTCACTTGAACATTAAAACAAAGTATCTTTAACACAGTCTTTTTGCAAAATTCACGGAAAGTATATAGTACTAACGTATTTAGATTTTATAAGAAAGTACACGCTTTTGTTGTTATACGGCTGGAAATGCCGTGCAAGAGATACGTTCTTGTAATCCACTGAGATCGATAAAAAATACACGAAATACGACAATGAAAATATTTACGTGATATCACGGAACAATTAAGAACAACTTATAACTATTATTAATTTATCGATTTAATTAATTTAACATATTTTAAATAACAAATATAAGAGTCTAACACCAAGTAACGTACCGGATGTATATCACGAACTAAAAGAAACAGGAAACTTTAGCCCTCTTACGATAGAAGCATGAAACAATCTGTACGATACTCTAGGACGTGACATTGTCAACGAAGTATCATTCTTTATGAAAGAGTATCATGGTTTTAGATAACAGGTGTCGCTCAATGTTTTACACGTAATAACAAATTCACAACTTTGACAATTAAAATGATTATTTAGCGTATAAATAATCTCTTCCTATAACAATGGTCTAAACCATATATTCAACAAGCTCGATGCAATTCGACGAAATAGAATCACGAAACTTTGAACATACGTATAATAACGCTTGTTATGAATGAAAAGAGGTCAATGGCCTCAACGAGTAAAGTTGAAAAAGTAGAGCCAGTTATGGACATTAATAAATACGATACTCATCGTTTTCTAACAAGCTTCTAAAGTTGCTGTTTATAAAATACAAACTATTTAATGGTAAATTTTACATACAGAAAGAGTATTATCAGGTTATAGTAGATCTTCTTTGCTGCGATAAAGAAAACATTCCCATTTCGCGGCTGTTTGAAAGTCCCTCTTTGGCAATTTCCGTGTTTTTCGTTGAATTCGCGCCGCTTCGCTAAGCACAAAGCGCAAATGAGATATTATCACGCGGCGTTCGCCGCTCGCATTTTTCTACGTGATTAAAGTCAAGAATATTGTGTACACTCCAAACAACCGGCGCTTTGTTCCGCGAAATTAGCACGTACCGGCGAGCCAATTCAGCGACACGAACACGTTTAACGCGAACTCGTGGGGAAAGTGGTATGAAAGCGACGATTTATCGATTTTATAGCACGCCTTTTTTTTTCGCTGTCGAAATTGATAAAATTAAAATACATATAAGTAACTCGTTTATTTCTCGGTTAGGTACATCGAAAAATATTGTTTCGATTTTTAAGTTGATATTTTGAAAGCGAAATTTAAGGTTATGTCTAGGTCGATATATGTAAAACATAGTTTTATTTATTTTGATGATACACAGCGTGTTCAATTGAGAAATTGAGGTTATGATGTTATAGGGGGATATTAGGCGGTCTAAATAATGTTTCTCTAGGTGTAGCAGTGTGTGTGCGAGGACGAGTGAATGACCTTTGGGAGTTTAATGCATGCGGGGAATTCAAGAGAAGGGATTCAATAGAATGAATGAGTTTGTATATATACCAAGGGAAGGGTATAATAAGATAGGGTAGTTTTATGTAGCGCAAAAAAAAAAAAGGACAGGGATAAACAAGCACGCGGTGATTTTTCGTGGATGTATATAGGGTGTCCCGTAACTCCTCGAACACCCGGAAATGGGGGGTTGCTGGGGTGACTCTGAACAACTGTTTCCTTTACCAAAATGTTGTTTGAAGCTTCATTTTTGAATTATTAACGAAAAGCACTGGCCAATCAGAGCGCGCGTAGAGCCCGCGCTCAGGGACCCTATATCTGACTACGAAAGACCCACTTTCGCTTCTTTCCCTTCCAAACTATAGTTGTGCACACGAAAAGTGTTAAGAAAATGTAAAAATGTATATAAACAAAAATTCCCCTATTTTTATACTTTTCAAGTGTCTCCCAACACTAAGAAAAAGATACAAAATTGTAATAGTAAAAAAGTATAAAAAAATTTATTTATCTTTACATGTATTTACATCTTTCAAATTTCCAATTCCCCCACCGTAAAAAAGAAAGAAACTCTACTCTGAAAATTTTTCTCATTTTCCAGGAACCATTTAACTAAACTAAAGCGCTGAACTTTCCTCAACAATACACACAATCGAAGCAACAAAAATTCTACCTTCCCTCCAACAACTCTGAAACAAAAAAAAAAAGGAAGGGAGAGAGAGAGAGAGAGAGAGAAAGGAAGAACAAGAACAACATAAAAGTGGAGAATATTTCGTTTCCAATGAGAGCCGCTCTTTACGATCCGTATTGTTCGTAGACGAGCTCGAGCGTTTTACGCCGGTCGAGCGTAATTAAAACCGTCGATATAAAAGCGTGCGTTTATTTTTCGTGTTAAATTTCGCGGGTGAATCCTTCACCAGAGTTTCGTCGGCTCGAATTCGCACGCGTTTTCCGGTTTTCCTCCTCTTGGGCTCGCGTTTCTTCGCACGAGGACAGTATAACCCCCTCAGATACAATATTTTAGGATAAAAGCTTGGCCAGGAAAGAAGTAAAATCGCGGAACACCGCTGCTACGGCAGATTTATGTCGCTGGTGTGTGCGGGTCAAGGACAAGATTTACGATCGACGCCTCTCGTAGCGGCGATCTCGAGGATAGCATTCAAAACCGCGCGAGAATTATTGGAGCTCGAGTTTCTGTAAATTTCTTTGACACTGGCTGGATAGAACTGTGCCACCTTTAGCTTCACTGTATAGTAAGTTGAGAATTGGGGAAGAATTTTGCCGAGTACCTCTCATGGTCGCGGAGTTGTTTCCGGTTGGTTAGTTGGTTCAGGTTCAGTAAAAATCCATTATACTGGCAAAAAGAGAAGAGGATGGATTATAATTAACGTAGAAACTATTATTATTATTATTTTAAATACACTTTTCCGAACCTCAATCACAAATCCATTGCGAAACTCCATTCTCCCTATCGCCGGCCTTTGATGTGTCACACTAAACGAGCTATAATAACTTCGTTATTTTATCGAATACAGCTATAAAATTTTAGGAACACATTTTGAAAGAGTTGTACTTTCGATATATGCAAAAAAATAAAAATCAATTTTTTGAAACCGTCACACTAGAATACCCCCTTAACACGTCGAGTGGGCTATTATTTCAGAATTTTTTATGAGGAACTTATGAAAGCTACTGCAACCCTGTTTTTTTCTGCATACTTAATAGCATTTCGATTACACTTTCAATTTTTTTGAAAACAAAAACATTAAAATTAACTGAAGTGGACCGCTTTGAAGCTGCTCTTGAAAAAAAGCGGTGCCCAGACGGTGTCCACTATTGGACGGTTTCTGATTATCTGAAACAAAAAGTTCAAAAGGATTTCTTATTTGTATGTCCTTGTTTATAGCCGGTACCAGAATGAAAGAAAGATATTGTAAATTTAAAAAATAACGTCACATAGTAACTGAGTTTTGATTTTCATACATTTTTTTCGACTTTATGGGGCTGTCAAAATTTAAAAAAAGGAAATATTTTGAGACAATTGTAGTAGGCGCGACAGCCACATGTGTGCAGAAGTTGGCCTTAATTGGTGAAGTCGATCTTGAGATATCATGGACACCATTTCGAAAAACATGGTTTCGAGAAAAACGCGATTGAAGTTTTGAGTGCAATTTAGACTCTCCCTTGATGTGTCATCCTAAACGAGCTATAACTTCGTTATTTTATTGAATACAACTATAAAACTTGGAGTACATTCTTAAAGAGTTGTACTTTCGATATATGCAAAAAAATAAAAATCAATTTTTTGAAACCGTCACACTAGAATACCCCCTTAACACGTCGAGTGGGCTATGTTCGACTTTTTACTCAGGCATTTTGGTAATTGTTATGTATAGAGTAATTATCATACCGTGGACCATTGATGGGCCATGTGTATAGTGATATGTTTTCAATTCGCTACAACGTTATAAGTCGGTATAATGTAAATTTATATATTTTCTTATGTTGAAAATTCACACGTGAAACAGTATTATTTATCTACTTCTATTTGTTGCGACGCAAGGCTAATCGTTAGGATTCGACTTTATCACACGGACGCCCATCTCTGCCATTTTTGAGGAACTTTATTTTTAAATGTTTCGTTAACTTAATTCCTTTTGTAAACCGATGTCGAGCCCCAGAAAGTGTTTTATGATCGCATAAACTCAGCGTTTCTGCGTGCCACGTGCCATTTTCTAATGCCCATTCACTCAATAGTAATTGACGCGTCGTAAAGTCTCGAACACATACACAGGATTGAGTCGCGTTAGCCTGCCTCCTCGCTACAACATACCACCACCCCCTGTCGACCCCGAAAATCAAGGGTGAGTGGTCTGCCCGTGGCCCAGGGAAGATTCTCCAAGGGGTAGAAGCACTCTTATTCGTTCTATTAGTCAACACCCACACTACACACTTTAATATAAATTAAGAAACACTTCGAAAGAGGAGATTCTCAATTACACAGTGTAAAAGCAGATACATTAAATGCAGGGTGTCATGTAACTGGTGGGTATAAGCGAGAAGTTAGAAAAAAATTTTGTTATAAGAGACCAAAAGAAGGAAAGCTCAGGTCATAGTTACAAGACTTTTGTCAATCAATATCTAACTACAATATCAGGAAGAAAGAAGAAACGATTATGACTAGATTTGGAAGTGGCCATTCGAAAATAACCCATGAACGTCTAATAGAGAAAACGAAATTACCTTTTTGTAACCTCTGTAACCACGAAATTCTGTCGACAAATCATATACTGTATATACAAGAGCAGAAGATTTCAAGCTCAACGCCAGAAGTGTAAACTGACAAGCTGACATCACAGGACCACATAAAAAATACTGTATGTTAGGGTGAACTCGAGCCCTGAATATTGCACTACGTGCCGTCTATAGTTCTCTGGAAGGACCACCCAAAGGTTGATAACGGCTTTGGGACCGTAGTGATGTGTGACGCTTCTGACTGTCTTGTCTCTATGATCTGTTACTCTTTTAAAGACCACTGTCCGGTCCCAGCACTCCCGTTTCCCTTTCCTCGTGTCCTCCCTTCCATTGCGCCCTTGGCGTGTGTCCTTTCTGGAAGGAGAACTGGGTTCTTCCCGAGAGAAAGTGGGAGAGATGGGGGTAACTGACTGTTCACCGTTAGGAAAAAAAACCCCGGACTTGGTGACGTCGTCTTTCGCCAGGTCACCGCTTGGGTCTTCGGGGTTTATGACATGGCCTGTGTTACCGAGTCCTAATTCTATGAACTAGCGAAACATAATTAAAAAGGTGAAAAAGGGAAAAACTAATTTTGTCACGTACCATCCTAATGCTGGTGCACGGATGGTACGCGCATTCAACAAAGGTCTCAAAGATAA